GCAATCCTAGAAGTCACTATAAATCATTGTAAATATTTAAAGAAAGTTTTTTTTACTAATTTACTAACGATTTAGAACGCACCTGATGAACTCCATTACAAGAATTTACAACTTAGGAATTTTGTGCTACAAGATTATATTAATCATAGATAAAATTAATATATTTAAATACCTGTAAAATAACAATTAAGTACTGTACTGTACTGGTTCCAGAAAAATGTCCGTAAAACAGTCTTGAATTGTTAAGAACTAATGTAATTATGTAGTTTATGCAACTAATGAATGTATTTTGATTTCAACTTTTCTGGTTAGTGTTCTTAAATACCTATTGTTTGCATGGATAAGATTGAATAGAAATCACATCTACAATTAAAAAAAAATTACTGTACCGTGTTTGTATGTCAATATGTCTGAACACGTCTCAATCTTTCACCAAGTACTGTATATACCATTTGAAATAAGGCATTTTATATAAGTTAAACGAGCCTAAGAAAATAAATACACAATAGGAAAACATGAATACAGGTAGTATAAGTATCGTGATAATATGAACACAAAAAGAACATGAAAGTCAGTTGTTAATATATCTGATAAATTTTACTTCCCTAAATTCCTGAAAAAATGCATTTACATATGAATATCAAACAAAGTAATATAATATTTAATGTAAAATGTGTAAAATGCAACATGGCGGAAATGAGTGTAACATTGTGCATTACCTATTAAATTACCATACTGTATATTCACCAAATACAAATAAAAATACCAGCACTAATATCACAAATAAAAATACATTGGGCTAAATTTTTATAGCCACACACACTTGACCCAATGATATTTATCATTACCATTTAATGCTCAAATAAATATTTAATATTTCGGGTTGCCCGAAACACTGTGCGTATTAGTGGCTTTAGGCATAGTGTGTACTAGCTCTATCTAGAAATCCAACATTATGTTTGTAACTCATTTTGAATATATGTACTTTTACCTGAATAAACATTATCTATTAAAATAAGTTATCATTTTAAGTGTGCTGCATGAAGCAGAGAAACTCTGCAACAAGCCTGACTTTTCACTGCTATTACTTTGGCCTATGACCCTTGTACTGTACAGAAAAATCCCCCCCCCCCCTCCCTCCCAAAAGCAAATGCACAGCAGTAATAATGATTTATACCATTTTTTTAAATAATGAAGACAACTAATTGCTGGAGGAGGCAAGTAAAGCCTTAAGCCACAACTAGCAGAGCATCTTTCATTCAATTACAGTACAAGTAAAAAAATTAATTAAAATGGAACGCATTACTGTATCTGTGTGCATAAACTTCTAGTCAACATAGGGCAAGATACAAATAAAGATTTCATTGATAACTTTGCAAGATGTTTAAATTTTTATCCTATGTGGTGTAATCTTTCACTATTCAAACTATTAAGGTTAAAAATTTACTCCCATCTAAAAAAAAAAAAAAAATTCCATAATAAATATTCGACAGTGAATGACTTTGATAAAAAATTAATCGGTATCAACAGTTACGCAGTTTTCAGATTTTCTTCAAAAATATTATTTTTAATAATGCTGTTAATTAATGTTTTAACAGGGACTTTATTATTATTATTATTATTATTGACAAGAAAAAAAAAAAAAGGTTCATGAGGTAATGCTCTTGTGCATACAGTATTCAGAACTTCAATTATTGATTTTAATTGTGAAAAAATACAGCACAGCCTCAATAGAACAGAACATTCAGTGGACCAGAAAGAATCTTATCGAACCTGGATTCAACAAAACAGAATGTCTGTTAGATCAACATTCCTCAATTCATCAGACTTGGCATATGCATACAAACTATCTGTAATTGTTACAAATTTGTACTATACTCAAACATTTAGTGATATTAATAGAAAAATTATGATTTTTTTTTTGATAGGTTTTATATAATAAAATATTCATTCCTGAAAAACAAAGACTCTTAAAAACACATTACTGTATACAATGAATAACTTAATAGGGAGGGAGGGAGGGAGGGAGGAAGGGCGGGGAGGTGGGGGAAAAGCGAGAGCGAGAGAAAAAAAAAAAAAAGTTTAATTTCTGGTTATGGCAGTTTATGTTTTGTGTGTGTGTAACTCCCTAAGTGTAGCTACAGGATCACAGCTACATTCATGTTGTCCCATCTTCCCAGTGCTCTGTCATTTAACACTTTGAAATTATTAGTTGTTTTGGCCTTCAGTACCATTTTTTTTTATTATTATTTTCTACATTTTTTTTATTCACCAATTGCTTTATTTTTTGTATAATTGAAAAACAAAATTTTAGGAATTTTTAACATTAAAATTTAAATTCAAATGGCTTGTTTGAACTAGAACGGTAAGGTAATTATCAAGAGAAAGTAGTGAGGCTGAAAAACTATACAGCACTTGTAAGGGCTATTAGGAGAGTGATGGAATGGTGCCTAATCACTTGGACCATAGAGACTTGAACAATGATCGTGCAAGAAGCGAGGCAATCACTGTACTGACCACTCCAATTCTTATTGGATTGTACCTGGATGGGGTTCTGGAAGTTCACTCACCAAGCCTGGGGGCCAGGCTTGACTTGTGAGAGCTTGGTCCAACAAGTTGTTGCTTGGAGCAGCCTGCAGGCCCACATTCACCACAGCCCTATTGGTCTGACACTTCAAGAGAAAACTGGATAGTTTTCTTAAAAATGTCCATGTTTGTTTTGGTAATATTTCTTATGCTCGCTGGGAGTATGTTAAACAACTGTAGACCTCCAATGTTTATAGTGTTCTCTGATTGTGCCTATGGCACCTCTGCTCTTCACTGGTTCTATTTTGCATTTCCTTCTATATCATTCACTTCAGTAAGTTATTACAATACAAAAAATTATACTGACCAAGAGTAGATGGTAGCTCTATCAACCACACTACTATGTGCGCACGTGTGTGTAAGTTACACATATGGTTACAGAGTGAGAGCTACGTTTGTAGTGTCACATCTTCCCAGCACTGTTATATAATGCTTTGAAACTACTGACTGTTTTGACCTCCACTACTTTCACTTAACTTGTTCCAACTGTCCTACCAAACTGTTTGCATAAGAAAACTTTATTTTTTTGGCATCTGTTTCATTAGCTTGAATCCATGACCTCTTGTTCTTGAGGTTGCCAGTTTCAGGAATTCCTATGTCAATTTGGTCAATTCCTGTTATTATCTGTAAGTGGGGATCATATCTCTTTTTCTTCTTCTAGCTTTGGTATATTTGAAGCCTGTAGCCTTTCTCAACTCCTGTTTTTCCACTCTGGAAGCCATTTTGTAGCATGCCTTTGCACCTTCTCTCTAACACGCACGCACGCACGCACGCACACACACACACACACACACACAGAATTATATGAACATGTTTGCTGATGATGCTAAGATAATAGGAAGGATAAGAAATTTAGATGACTGTCATGCCCTTCAAGAAGACCTGGACAAAATAAGTATATGGAGCACCACTTGGCAAATGGAATTTAATGTTAATAAATGTCATGTTATGGAATGTGGAATAGGAGAACATAGACCCCACACAACCTATATATTATGTGAGAAATCTTTAAAGAATTCTGATAAAGAAAGAGATCTAGGGGTGGTTCTAGATAGAAAACTATCACCTGAGGACCACATTAAGAATATTGTGCAAGGAGCCTATGCAATGCTTTCTAATTTCAGAATTGCATTTAAATACATGGATGGCGATATACTAAAGAAGTTGTTCATGACTTTTGTTAGGCCAAAGCTAGAATATGCAGCTGTTGTGTGGTGCCCATATCTTAAGAAGCACATCAACAAACTGGAAAAGGTGCAAAGACATGCTACTAAGTGGCTCCCAGAACTGAAGGGCAAGAGCTACGAGGAGAGGTTAGAAGCATTAAATATGCCAAAACTAGAAGACAGAAGAAAAAGAGGTGATATGATCACTACGTACAAAATAGTAACAGGAATTGATAAAATCGACAGGGAAGACTTCCTGAGACCTGGAACTTCAAGAACAAGAGGCCATAGATTTAAACTAGCTAAACACAGATGCCGAAGAAATATAAGAAAATTCACCTTCGCAAATAGAGTGGTAGACGGTTGGAACAAGTTAAGTGAGAAGGTGGTGGAGGCCAAGACCGTCAGTAGTTTCAAAGCGTTATATGACAAAGAGTGCTGGGAAGACGGGACACCACGAGCGTAGCTCTCATCCTGTAACTACACTTAGGTAATTACACTTAGGTAATTACACACACGGGGGCCTCGTAGCCTGGTGGATAGCGCGCAGGACTCGTAATTCTGTGGCGCGGGTTCGATTCCCGCACCAGGCAGAAACAAATGGGCAAAGTTTCTTTCACCCTGAATGCCCCTGTTACCTAGCAGTAAATAGGTACCTGGAAGTTAGTCAGCTGTCCCGGAGTGCTTCCTGGGGTGTGTGTGTGTGTATGTTGTGTGAAAAAAAAAAAATAGTAGTTAGTAAACAGTTGAGAGGCGGGCCGAAAGAGCAAAGCTCAACCCCCACAAACACAACTAGTGAATACACATCCCCAGGAAGCAGCTATAGTAGCTGTAACTCACATGTACCTATTTACTGCTAAGGGAACAGACGTATCCAGTGAAAGAAGCTCTGCCTGTTTGATACTGCCTTAGCTAGGAGTCAAACCCAGTCCCTTAGAACTACAACCTCAGAGTGCTGTCCACTCAGCCACAAGGCCCAATGCACGCATGTGCATGTTTGTGTAATTACCTAAGTGTAGTTACAGGATGAGAGCTACGCTCGTGGTGTCCTGTCTAGCCAGCACTCTTTGTCACATAACGCTTTGAAGCTACTGACGGTTTTGGCTTCCACCACCTTCTCACTTAACTTGTTCCAACCGTCTACCACTCTGTTTGCGAAAGGGAATTTTCTTACATTTCTTCGGCATCTTTGTTTAGTTAGTTTAAATCTATGACCTCTTGTTCTTGAAGTTCCAGGTCTCAGATAATAAAAGATTATCTGGGAATACAAACCTGGTTACTTATATGGAAATGTCAAGACCCACAAGCCTGGAAACCCACTTCGGCCATTCATCAGCCAGATACCCACACCCACATACAGACTGGCTAAAAAAATGGTGAACGCGTGAACACCAGGTCCGACCTCCCAGTCTGACCACAACGCTTCCCTATTCTATCCAATCCTATGTGTGTGTGTATGTAGGTGTGCATGAGATGTATGAATCTGTTGGTCTTTATCTCAAATATGGATTCAAGTATGCACTTTGTGTAAAGAGTGTGCACAAGTATTTAGCACGCACAGGCATCATTAAGTACTGATGCACTCACAAGGTCAAAAAGGGAAAATTAAAAAAAGAAAATAAAAATAAATAAATATACTGATTGATGACAAAAGGAATAACTAATTAAATGGAAAATATCTGGAAAATATTTGTCCAAGTTATGTTTGTGTTTTATCATGTTCATAGCTGAATTATGTGGTACTCCCAAAGTGATGTCATGCATACAAATCCCATCAGATTTTAGCAAGTACATCATCTTTATATAAAGAGTAACTTCCAACTCAAACACTCATTACACAAGAGTATCAGGTTATCACATTATCACTTAATGCCTATGCACATCTGTACATACAGCTGAAAGTGAGCAACAATTTGAGACAAGTACAATATATGCATGCAAAGGCTTCCTTCCAATTGTGAGCAAATTATGTCATATATAGCACAATATATACATACATAGGCATCTATTACTGATCAAAAGGAATACTGTATATAAACAATACATAAATTAGATTTAATAAAAGAAGCTGCCTTTAGAATGTAATAATAAATGCTTCTCATTTAAAATTCATTTTAATTTTCAAATTTGTATGCATAAACCATTAAAATAATAATGTAATTGATTATGAAGATATCAAATAAGACTGCAGGATTTTGCCAGCATGATCATTCAATGATTCACTTGCCTATGTATGTATAAAGATGAGAAAAGTGTATCATGACCGCAATACCTGCCTGATAATGAGACATACAGAACAGATCAACCATTGATTTACAACCACAGAGGCTTAAGGCTGCAATAAAGTTATCTAATGAGGAAATCAAGAGTAGTTGGTAGACATTATAAATAAAAAAGATGCCAGCTATTAATACAAAAAAAAAAGCATGCATTAAGTGGAAAATGTACAGAAATTGGTGGCCAGATCACTTTAATAATACCATTCACTGCTATAATAAGTATTTCAGTTAAGAAAAATCACAGGTACAGTATGAATTAAATTGTTCAAAATTAAAATAATTAAAAATGTTAATGCTACTTTAACACAAGAAAACTTTCTAAACCTTAAAGTTTCAACTATTTGAGAATATAAACATAAAAACATTTTTATTCAAATTAGAGTAGTTAAAAACAAAGCAAAGAGAAAAAATACATTAACTAAACTAGTCCAAAACCCAACTAAACTTTTACTAAACTCCCCAAAAATAAATACTATTCTTAAATACCTAACAAATAGGAAATATAACTAGTGTACCATACAGTATGAATGGGGGTGATAACTATCTTATACTAACCTAACTTTAATTAATCTATTTTATGTACTATACAGTTTGTAAGTACTGTACACTGAATTTATGCTCGCTCAATATCTTCATTAATAATTTTCACTTCACAGAAGTTGCTAAATACACCCCCTGTACTTTTGGTACAGCACTATATCAGGCTATTGCTAATTCCATATTGCAAAATCAATCACAGAGCTCAAGATAAAAGTTACCTGCAAATAAAGCAAATTTCAGTTAAGAGATGGATGATTGTACGGTTTCTTACCATCACAATGATAATACAAAATAAAAGTAACAAAATTGGGGAAAGTCATTTTGATCAGCAATGCTTGACATGAACAGCAGTCCCAGTCCACACCTATCACAGACACCAACTTTGCTCTTTTTCAATAGCATTAACTAAATTGTTCTTAATGGTAACACCAATTAAAATTCATTTTTTTTTCATTAATAATTGTAAATATAGTATTGTACTTAAATCTGTCGCTTAGTTTTCTTCACATGTAATGCATGCGTTCAAGAACACAATAGAGGTAATCTTATAACATCTTTAAATGGATCAAGCTCAAATACTATGCACTATATAAATATATGCATGGGGGACTGACCATGGTACAACGTATCTTGTCAATTCCTTCCCTTTCCACTTTTATAACAAATTATTTTAATTATTTTACATATATGTTCAAATATGTCTAGTTTATTTCTCAGTTTTCGTGAGTATTAAAGAAATGCACACGGTATTTCTTTACATCAGCTATCATTATGAATAAATCATACTATATCTTTACATGAATATACAAAAAAAAAAAAAGCTGCCAATTATTTTAAGCCAAGCCAAGCCAAGCCAAGCCAGCAGGATTTAATTATCTATAGCAACATAACACTCCAGTGTTTTATTTAAAATAAATATTTCACTCGCTTAACTATTAAGTACCATTTGAAGATGCTATAAAAATGTTACTCCATCTTGATAATCTTTCCAGATCAAAGCCTCGAAACTGTTTAAATGACATGGTTGCTCTACCTTCTTGGTGAAACACAGTAACTGGAATTCACATAACATTATCAGTGATTTTGAAAATTGGACAGTGTTACTGCAACTTCAAAACTATGCCTCTAATGGCAAGAAAAACACTGGGCAGGTGGTCAAAAGACCACGATTATTAAGCTTACCATGTTCACTGCTGCATACTTTCAAGTGTCTAGCAGCAATTTGCATAAGCCTTGGAATTACCAAAACCCATGAGTTCTATCAAAGAGGCATAATAGAGGGTGAATTACTGATTGCTCCCATTCACTTATAATGTACAGAAATAGTGAATAGTGAAGCAAACACATACAAATGAGACATCGCTAGGACATTGTTGTTTTGTGTGATGAGGCAGCTTGAAGTAGTTCAGTGAAAGATCTTTCAAAACACCTCTTCAGCTCAGCATAAGATGTAACCAAGATGTTCTGCTCATCATGGGACATAAGACATATCTGTAATGTTTCAATGTACACACATAAGGTCTTCATAGTGCAAACTGCTTTACTGGTTCTGAATGCTGTCGACTTAAAAATTATGCAGGTAAAAAATAATAAAGTATTTCTTATTTTATTACTTTTAAAACCTTTCAAATTATTCTACATTCCTTCCCTTTTGCTTAATAAAAATATGATTTATGATTTATCATGATCACTTTTCATTGCCAGTGTTAATAAATTGTTTAATGAATCCTATAGCTTACCCTCTAAAATACTGGTATAGCAAAATAAAAACATGCGTTGAATATAATGAAACGCCTCTTTCTGGAAGAGCCTTGGTGGCTCCCCGTAGTTACCTTGCCTAGTCTGCTCCCAACTACTAAGTCACATCAGTCATGAAGTTCCATTTGGTCTACCAGGGACCAGAGCCAGAACCTGCCATCCATAAAGTCAATACACCAATACAGATCACCGATGGGTTCAAAGAAATTGGAGCCTCAAAAATTGCCAAATATATTCCTTAAACTATGTAAACAAATGACTAACTCAAAACTAGCTTGAGCTCGTTAGTATAAAACTATTGCCATCAGAGGGCCTGGAGCCCTGGAACTTCTCCATCCCTCCTCCCTGGTCAGTTAATGAGTAGTTGTGAAAACCCACAACCACCAACCATCAAACCTGGTAGGGAGGGAGGGGGGATGTCAGGGAGCCACCAGAGATCATCAGAAAGACATTTCATTACTGTACATTCAACAATAATTTACTGGTGGAGCACCTTGTGGCTTTTTGAAGCTAACTAACCAACGGGAGGAGAGACAGGAGGTACTATGACGAAGGCAAGACAACTGGCCGAGAGAAACGGCCCAAAGCAACACAGGAATAATTAGGCCCAGGGACACTCACCAGATACTGGGTGGCCAAGACCCCGATAAACCTCCAAAATTTGTGCCCAAATGTCAGCCCAGGACACAAAAAACCAGCAAAGAATGTAATTAAATGCCAATTTCTGGGTGAGTCTTAGTGGCTCCTTGAAGCTATTATACTGATAGTGCCAAACTACAAGATGTCATCAGTCGTAGAGTTTTTATTTGACCCACAGGGGACAACAAGCCAGAACCTGGCCCCCATCAAAGCCAGGAGCAGTGTCATTTATGAAAAATATAATGTAAAATTATTCCTGTCTGCCATCACCAAGGAATGGTACCCAAAAAGTCAGTGAAACAAAGAAGATCACTGCTTGGTTAGAAATGAGACAACAGCCTCAAAATGGTCAAGAGAACTCCCCCAACAAAGTAAACAAATTATCAAAAACTTTAGAAACCAATCTATAGCAACAGAAACCAGCACAAACTAGTTTGCCTAATCTCTTCTCCCTCATTTGGGGGAAGGAGGGAAGACAGACTGGGTCATCTGGCTGCTCCACTACCAGGGCATGTCAACCAGCCAGGACAAAGCAGGAACTGCATGATGCAGTCAACACAAGAGGTTCAAATAAGCCACTGAAAGAGCACTGTGGGGAAAAGGAAACCCTCTCGGAAGCGAAACTGAAGCTTTGAGCGGTGCATGGAACTGAACCCCAGGGAAGCTGTCAAGGAAACAAATGTACACCATGAAGAGGGGAGAAGAAAAACTGACTCGGGGACAAAAAGTCCCCACAACAGGAACAGAGCCCTGAAAGGGGCAAAGACTTGTGGGCCTACCTCGGGCTTCCCTTCATTCCCCGGAAGCCAGCCAAGACAGTCCCAGGGCAGAGCCATTCACCATACCCAATGCCAACAATAGAAGGTGATGTCTGATGGATAGAGAGAGGAGTGGAGAACTGGCAAGGCAACAGTTGGGAAGGCAAGGCTTCACACCCCCAGTGGGAAGAGATAGCTCAACTGCCTCTGCTGTCAAAAGGATAGGAACACATCTGGAGCTAACCAACAATGGAACCAGTACCAAATAGGGTGTAACAAACTAGCTGTTATAGGAATGATCTAGAATGTTTTAACTACGCATGGGAGAATGGGAAGCTGGACCCACGTGGTGACCCGGGAGCATCCCCTGGGGGGATTGACGGTGAAAATAACTGGCGCCTTTGTTCACAAGTTTCGTATAATGAATCATTCTATAGTATTCAGTAATTTAGAGAAATTAGCCTTCATTCATTTTGTATTAAAATTGTATTGTATAATATTACTGGGTATAATATCAAGAGTATTCTAATCATTAGAAGAATGAGTTTAAATCACCATCAGTGACGTCACTAGCCGTGACTAGACCTCGGCGCGGAAGAATTTGAGTGACCTCAGCGGTCACAGGTCACCAGAGGTTCCATGTCCACTATTTCTCAAAGGTTAAATAGCCATTTGGCAATCGGGAATAGCTCTTCCTTAAGATGCTTGTGTAATTAACTTCAGTTAAAATAATTCAACCAATCTGGATCATTCAGTGCAGCAGAGGTTAATTGTTAAACTGAAGCCTTGCAAGTAACTTAGATACGAGGCGTAAGAATACAATGCTCTGAGTTCCTGGGTAGAGGAGCATCAGAGAAGACAGTGTGGGATCAGGAGCGACTCGGGCAGGTGGTCTCCATCATTGGCCCCAAGACAGCACAAACATCTAGCTGGTCGCCCAAGGTAAAGTTTGCTCAGAGGTTTTGGATAGGGAATAGGTCAACTCATTGCCGATATGGTCAATTAGGGAGTGTTCAAGTTTAGGGAGTGCTTAAATTTCTTAGAATTTTGTTTTAGTTTGTTGAATAAATTAATTAGTTAGTAATTGGCATTTTTATTTCATTTCATGTTTTCCATTCTCATGTCCTTGTCACATGGTCCTCACGAGGCCGAGTTTTCGTTGGGCCGCAAAGCCTAATACAAAGATTAAGAGATCGGTTATTCCCTTTGATTTTAATATTTCCAAAACTTAACGTAAGATCCAAGTTATATGTTACTAGCGGGGATCAAGCCCCAAAGTTATTGATTGGCATGATCGATCCAGACCTCGGTCATTGCTCAGTATTACTGGTCTGGTGGTGGCGGCAAAAAGGCGACCCTAGGGTTTTGCTAGAAGCCTATGTCACGTCATACAGGTTGTAGGATCTTAAGTCGGTCAATCGTCTTAAGACCACGTGGAGTGGAGTCGGCTCTAGTAAAAGTTTGGAGTCCCTTGGTATGGAGATCTAAAGTAGAATACGGGTAAAGAGAGGGGTAGAGAGAGAACGAAGTACAGACGTACACAAAGAAAGAAAGAAGGAATACCCCCCTCCCCCGTGTTACAAGGGGCAGAACAGATGTAGGGCAAACTATGCCTCTTAGGAGGGAGGGAGGCAGACCAGCAGCAGCTCAGGGGGAGTAAACAAACACCAACTCTGATACTATAAAACAATGGGGCCAGATCTAGGACATACAAATGATCACAACTCAGCATCCTCAAAAACTAGAAAACCATTTCCATATGGTGGCAGCTGCTTAGGAACCTCAAGAGGGGTGGCTAAGAGTGAGTAGAGACCAAATGTGCACATTATGCATAGGGCCCAGGGTTATTGTGTCACAGACCCAACAGGCAGCTAGAAAGAATAAGAGAGTGACAATTGGCCAGTAGCACCTTACAAACTGACAAAGAACAAGTGCAGGCTCAGTGGAGTGATCCACAGGAACCATGCCAAAATATTGGAGTGCCTGAAGAAATGACCAAACATGATACTCAGGCACTGGGGATGCTTGCAGGAAGAATAGTAAGCAAAATATCTTAAGTCAACATTGCTGTGAAAGCTTACCTTGGTATGCCATGTAATAAAAGCATGTGAACCTCCAGCACTCCCCAACCAACCAAAATGTTCACTCCCAACCACAGGTCTAGGCAGAATTAAAAAAAAAAAAAAACGTTTAATGCAATAAAACACCATTTTCTGGGCGAGCCCCGGAGGCTTCCTGGAGCTTTAGGACTGCTATATGCTATAATATATGCAACCCAAAGCACATCTCGGGCCACAGATAATGGCATAGAACCACAACTGGACACAACACAAGATGCACCCCTGGCCTGACCAACCAAACATCAATGATCCAAGGGCCCTTCTGGAAGCCCGCAATCTCTTTCTTTGCCAGAAAAGGAGACGGCTGTAACTGAACAAACCGACCACCAGGACCGAAAGAGCAAAAACCCCTGCGTCAGAAGAGAGCATGAAGCTCACAAACCCGATCCTTAGAGGCTAATGCCAACAGAAACAGAACCTTGGAAAAAAATCTTGAACCAAAGGAGCCACCGCAAACTGAAAAGAGAGAAAGCGAGAGAAAAAAAAAAGAGAAAGAGAGAGCACCCAGTCCAAGAATCGGGCCAACTCAGGTGGTGCAAGAGCAGGCCGGAGGTAAAACAAAGCACGAGAAGGCTTACGGAATGGGGGTTAATTGACATCCACCATGAGCGAAAGCTGGAGCAGCTCAGCCAGCGCCGCACGATAAGAGGTAACAGTATTGGGCATCAAATGACGGTCCTGAAAGAACCAAGAAAGATAGGATAAAACAACCTGAATGGAAATAGAACACAACCTACGAAGAGAGAGGAAATGGTGATAAGAACGCCACCGAACCACAAAGAGCAGGAAACACCACGAAGGCACAAAGTCTGCCAAAAAATCGAGACCAGAGTTGACGACCACCCCCTGAGCACTTCATCCATTGAACTGAGGTGCGAGTAGTTGGCATGGGGGTCCGAGATTTCTCCCTCCCCGTTCCCCCTCTTGGGAAGTGGAAGGCTGCACGGACAAGCGGCGCAGCGGCAGTGTATGATGTTTGCTTTTTTCCTTAGGTTTTGGGGGAGTTCTGCTTCTGTTATGTCTTCGGTTGCACTTTCTTACCGAGCGAGTTTTTTTTTATGCCTACCTTTCTGGGTGCCTAACCCCGGTCAATGAGACATGGAATGCTCTCAAACACATTGGGATTTCTATAAGCCATTGCTCCCTCTACCTATCTGAGGGGTCTAGATTCTGGCTCGTGGTCCCTGGTAGGCAGAACTCCATTGACTGAAGCCCCCAGACTAATATAGTGTATATCATTCTGATAGCTCCAGGGAGCCAGAGGGGCTCCTCAAAGAAATACCTATAAGTACCTGAGGTAAGGCACCTAACTTGGTGATCTTGGTGGACCTTGAATGAGTAGAATCCCGAACACACCAGAGAAATAACTGTCAGTACAGGTGCAGCACCACAGACCACTCGGGGTAAGTAACCATGAACACATGCAGCTCCTGGTGCATAATGAGCCAAGTTCATCCAGCAAGCTGGTATAAACACACCACACCTATGAAACATACTAAAATTGAAACAACAAACAATGACCTGCACAGGATGGCTAAAGTTCAAGGATAGCTGGCACTTAGCTTTGAAGCAGCACGATTAGTTGGCTACCCAGGAGCACTATAGTGGACAACCAAGTTGACCACATCAGTGACAGACCTGATTTGGGATGGTTGTGAGAGTTATGGGGTTACGGGGCCCCTGTTGTTTATAGTTTGGTACTAATGACTTAGAGAGAGTTTTGAGTGCCGGTTGCTCAATTACGTAGTTCAGCTTATTATTTTTTACATGATTACATTAAGCAATTTGAGGCTTTGGGTTTTAACCCTGCAGTTATCTGCATTAGTGCATTGACTTTCTGGATGTTTTTTTATGGTGGGTTATTGGAGTGTCACCTGCTCTCTGCATCTCTGAGGGTGGCCAGGTTCTGGCTCTGGTCTCTGGGAGCCCAAACAGAATTCTGCAACTGATGTGACTTAGTAGTTGGGAGCAATCTCAACAGGATAGCTCCATGGAGCTACAAACGGCTCCCCCTAGAAATGACAAATGAAACTGATGTCATCAGAAAACACCTACCTTGTCTGGAGACCCAGCATCTAATTTATTTAGCACTGATACTACATGTGCCAAGTCTAACCAAGGTCTCCCATCATCAGTTACCTGAAAGTATACACAAATTAATAAATAAAGAGCATCTTAGAAAGCTACAGTACTGTATCTCTGTTCCATGCCACATTATATATATTGTATTTTCAAACTGTAAATGTTATATTTCCCTGAATTTACTTAGGGGCCACCACCTCAAGTGGCTTCAACTTGGCAGGGACAGAAAGCAGGTGGCTTGTCAAGTACGTAATTATCAAAAGAAGGCACCAAACCAGGAAGGCTATGTAGCACCATCAAATGTGCGGAATAATCAGAGGGCGTTAATATCACCAAGGATGCCAATACAAGAACAGAAACGCACAAGGCGAACAATATCAAAAGTATCCGAGTCACTAAGAATTCTATTGAGGGACAAGCGACCGCGGGGCACAGTCGGAAAACAAGATACACGCTCGTCCTGGAAGTTAGGACATTTAACAAGGATATGCACGACTGTAAGAGGGACAATGCAATTTGGACAATAAGGAGCAGGGTGGCGCTCCATTAAGTGACCGTGAGTTAAACGGGTATGACCAATACATAACCTAACCAGAGCCGTTTCCCACCGCCTTTTACGAGGGCAGGAGGAAGGCCACTGGGACACACGACTCTTAAGAGTATGCAGTTTGTTGCCAATAACAGAAGACCATCAACTCTGCCAGCGGGCAAGGATGGAGGCATGAATAACTGGGTAAAAGTTGGAATAAGGAATACCTTTATGTGAGAAGGGACAAGTGCGGATAGCTTCCTTAGCGGCAGCATCTGCATGCACATTAAAGAGACACCAACATTGGCTGGGAACCCAGCAAAACTCAACCGACTTAAATTTACTAAAGATAAGAAACAGCCAATGTTGAATCTCGATGACCACTGGGTGGACCGGATTAAAGGACCCTAAAGCCATGAGGGCACTACGAGAGTCAACTATCACCACAAAGGAAGATTGACACCGGGAAAGCAAGAGACGATGAGCATAGAGAATAGCATAAAGTTTTGCTGTGAAGATGCTAGCCTCCGGAGGAAGGCGACACATATAAGTGTGGTCAGGAAAAACAACAGTAGCCCACACCGTCAGCAGACTTTGACCCATCTGTGAAGATGTGAATGGAGTGGGAGTGAGAAGAAAAGTGCTTAAAGAAGAGGCGTTTCAGAACTGTAGGAGGGGTAAAAGCTTTAGTGATGCGGGTCAGAAGTACAAAATTTGGGAAGGGGGACCCTCCACAGGGGGCAAGGATAGAACAATACGAGGAGAAACATTGGTAATACAAACAAAAAGAATCTTGTAAGCGAGACAAATAGACAAAGAGAAAGGTGGTGAAGAGGAACAGGAACTACAGAAGGGGTAAAAGTCAAAGCACGATAGAGGCGAGAGTGAGGATGCTGTAAGGATGGCGCAAGATAGCGAAGACTGTAGCGATCACGGCGGTTCTGAAGAGACAGGAAGCCAGTGTCAGCGTACAAGCTGAGGGTAGGAGTTGAACGAAAAGCACCAGAGCTGAGGCGCAACCCAGTATGGTGCAAAGGATCAAGACGGCGAAGAGTAGAAGAAGCAGAAGAGTATGCAGGGCAACCATAATTGAGTTTAGACAGGACGAGAGAAGAATGCAAATAGAGGGGCATGCGCCTATCCGCTCCCCAAGAAGTATGGGACAAAATCTTAACACTTTGATGCACTGGGCTCGGGACCTCCCCACTACCTCAGGTGGGCTTGGGCCGCTCTCCCTCGCGGGAGCACGAGGGAGAGCACGGTAAATTCTGAAAAGTGTATAATCTTTTTAACTTTGTCAGCTCAATTCTCTTCCTAAGATATTCAATTTAGTATCAATATGTTCGCAATAGAATTCTCTACAGGACTAAATGCATATAAACTCCAAAAGCCCGGCTTACCATCCGCAACTAACAGAGATAGTGAGAGAAAGTTACCCGGGAGCGCACGAGTGATAAAATGTTTACACTCTTTTCAGTTTTGTCAACTCAATTCTCATCCTAGGTCTTTCAGTTTGGTATCAATGTGTTCGCAACTGAATTCCCAACAGGCCTATATGCATATAATATAAAAACCAGCAGCGATCTCCACCCGCCGACATGATGAAAACAGGCCGCGGTTACAAGAAAGAGAGCGCTGCGCCACCCCAAGGCGCTTCTCACTATGAAAAGTGAATATTCTTTTCAACTTTGTCATCTCAATTCTCGTCCTAGGTTTTTCAATTTGGTATCAATGTGTTCGCAATAGAATTCTCTACAGGACTAAATGCATATAAAGCCAAAAGCCCAGCGAGACAGTGAGAAAGTGAGAGCATGTTACCCGGGAGCGAGCCAGAGTAATAAAATGTGTACGCTCTCTTCACTTTGGACATCTCAATTCTTGTCTTAAGTCTTTCATTTTGGTATCATTGTCTTCGCAATAGAATTCCCTACAGGAGGATGCAAATATAAAGTCCAAAAGCCTGGCGTACCATCCACAACAAGCAGGAAAGTGACAGTGTGTTACCCTCGTGAGCACTAATAAAGAGCAATAAAATGGGTATTCTGTTTTCAACTTTGTTACCTCAATTCTGGTCCTAGGACTTTAATTTTGGTATCAATGTATTCGCAATAAAATTCCCTACAAGAGTATATGCATATAATGTCCAAAACCACAGCAAGACCTTCCCGAAAAAAACGCAACTGTTGCCGCACTTAGGACTCGATGCTGAGTCCTCGCCGGACTTGCCCCTGTTTTGCAGAGGACTCAATGCTGAGTCGTCGCCGGGCGCAAGTGTTAAGTAGGTTAAGGGCCTTAGAGCATTCAATACGGAGGTAAGAGAGATGGGGCGACCAAGACAAACGAGTGTCAAAGAATAATCCGAAAAGCTTCGTGGAATCTTGTACCCAAGGGGATGACCACAAAGTGACAAAGAGGGACAACGAACGACCCGCTTCCGAGTAAAAGTCATGGCACAAGTCTTAGTAGTAGAGAACTTTAAGCCATGATTGGTGGCCCAAGATGACACAGCATCAATTGCAAGTTGAAGCCGCCGTTGAAGGAGAGGCGAATCATCACCTCGACAGCAAAGAGTAAGGTCGTTAACATAAAGAGCGGAGAAGATGCCAGAAGGAAGGGAGGAAAGAAGACCATTGAGGGCAACCAGAAAAAGAATAGTGCTCAGAATACTACCTTGGGGTACACCTCCATACTGCTGAAAAGAGGCAGAGAGAATGGTACCAAGCCCTACTCTAAAGGTGCGACGAGAGAGAAAGCTTTGAAGGAAGAGAGGGAGATTACCATGAAGGCCAAAAAAACGAAGTTGGGACAGAATATGGCGTCTCCAAGTCGTGTCATAAGCCTTTTCCAGGTCAAAAAGGAAAGCAACAATGGAGGTCTTTGCAGCAAAAGCAGTACGAATATAGACCCCCAAGTTCACCAGGACATCAGTCGTGCTGCGGCACTTGCGAAAACCAAATTGAGAAGGAGAGGGGTCGTGATGGGGTTCCAAGAACCACATCAGTCGGACATTTACCATACGCTCATAAGAGCTTGCAGACACAACTCGTGAGAGCAATAGGGCGGAAGTCCTTAGGGGACGTACCGAGAGACCCTGGTTTCCAAATAGGGAGTACAACGGCATAGAGCCAGTCCTCAGGGACGAACGACGACTCCCAGACCTGGTTATACAGACTCGGTAAATACTGAGACGTGCACGGAGGGAGATGGCGAAGCATCTCATAATGAACGTCATCTGAGCCCACTGCCGTAGATCCGCAGAGGGCCAGGTCAGACTGAAGTTCAGAGAGAAAGGATTGTTATAGGGAAGGCGAAGACGAGTGTGGAAATCTAAAGGATAAGATTCAAGAACAGGCTTACGAAGAAGGAAGGATTGAGGAAGATGAGAACCAGAGCTAACAGTAGAAAAGTGGGAACTCAGTTTGATCGCGACCGTCACTGGGTCTGCCACAAGAGTACCATGGAGGTGGAGAACCGGCAAGATATCTGGAACGAACTTGCCCGCAATCTTGCGGATCTTCTTCCAGATCTGCGGCAGAGGCGTATTGGACGTAATGGTGGAAACATAAGATTTCCTACTCTCACGTTTAGCTGCACGGATGGTCCTACAGGCCACCGCACTTGCCTTCCGAAACAAAATAAAAGAATCAGCCGTCTGCCGGCGGCGGTGTTTCTTCCAGGATGCACGCTTACAGCGGACAGCCCGAGCACAGACCACATTCCACCAGGGAATGCACTTCCGCATTCCCCGGGAGGAAGAGCGAGGAATAAAGCGGAGGGCAGCGTCAAAGACAGTGTCATAAAAAGGAGGGCTCGAGGAAGAGGCAGAGAGGAGAGGTCAGAGAGAGCAGCACGGAGGGTGAATAGGTTCCAGTCAGTCTTGGCTACCTGCCACCTAGAAAGAGAGGGGAGGGTGGAAAGAGAAAAAAAAGAAACGAGGATGGGGAATGATCACTGTTATGGTCATCGTGAACCCGCCATGTGAAATCTAAGTAAAGGGATGACGAGCAGAGAGAAAGATCAAGACAGGAAAGGGTGCGAGTCTGAGACTCTACATGAGTGGGCTCACCAGAATTCAGAAGAGATAGAGAAGAAGCGAGGATGAACGATTCAAGGCGGCGGCCTCGGGTGTTTGTCAGAACATCACCCCAGAGGGTATGTCGACAGTTGAAATCACCCAAAAGGAGTACCGGCTCTGGCAAGGAGTCCAGGAGGTGCTTAAAATCAGGAAGGGAAAGCGGAACATTTGGGGGGAGATAAATGGAACAGACTGTATACCATTTACCCACAAAAACACGGCCAGCAGAACAATGGATAGGTGACGGAAGAAGTAGGGGGACGAAGTGGAACATCAGAACGAATTAAGCGAGCAGTAGAGTTATGGGCCCCAGCAAGAGCTGGGGGAAGGGGGAGAAAGAAAGGAATAACCACGAATGTGATCAGGACGAGCACCGAGCATTGGTTCTGGAGACAAACACAAAGTGGTGAAAACTGTGTAATTAAAATTTGGAGTTCATGGAAGTTGGTATAA